AACGACTCTGTTCTGCGGCTAAAGGAGAATGACACCTTCGTCGGTGAGCACCCGCTAGGGGTCGACAAAGGTCCACGATGGTTGTTCACGTATTCCACATGCATCCAGACTTATAACTGCATGGAAGGACCTTTGGTGCAGCGAATTCGCGATGCGGCTGCTCGGCGGCGCGCTACGTCATCTTTACGTCACCGCCCTTGGCAAGGTGTGGGACTTCGGTCATAATCGTCGACCAAATGGGCCGCCTTAACCAAAGACGGTCGGAAAATTTTTTGAGCGATTCGCATTCGCAAGGAGAGGGGTACCATCATCTATAACGAGTGACAATGCCCCAACTTTCACGCTAGGTGACACCATTTTGAGAGAATACTTGAGAAAAGCACAAAACGATCCAGCTACTCTGAAATTGGCGAGTGATAACGAGATCCACTGGAAATACAGGGGGGGGCCAAAAAAAAGTCATTCCGGCCGAGTCACATATGAGCGAAGTTTTCGCAGCCCAGACAGAGGAAGTGGATATGAGTACCAGGGCGGAAGATACCCAAGATCTTCCTCTATAAGCAGGAGCCGGCTGCCGCCATTCACCTTCATGTACACCAAAATATGAAGTCATCTCCAGTCGCGGCCTGAGTGGAGAACGCCTTTGGAATTCACGTGGCCTCCAAACAGCTGCGGAACTTCTTGAATGGAATCACCCATGGATAGCTACCTGGAGACCAGTACTCTTGATCTGCAAGACCCCAAACATCGAGCAGCTCCGGCAACGTCGCTACGGTCCAGGACATCATCTTCACCCCATTCACCAAGGCGCGGGTTGATGGTGTGGACCGGCCGTACCTGGAATGGGAAGACCGATATTTTCTTTGTAGACCCCGACTGAAGGTGAGCGCTGGCGGTTACATCAAGTAACTCGAGAAGGATATCCTCCCTACATGTGGTCGCCCGTACCTTCTTGGACGAATTTGTGCTGCACAGGTTTTGGTGCGCACCCAATGGAATCGAGGGTTTTTGGAAAAACCCGCCTACTTCTTATGAAGGGCTTTGCGTACTGATGAAGTGTAATATTTGAAATTGTGCCCCTGACCCGAACCCTCAATTATCTAGTTCGGGCGGAGCTCAACAGGGTGGTCTACAGGTGGCGGAGAATCAAACGATCTCGCTCAACTCCGGTACCCACTCACTTTCGCGCGGCCGAATCTCTCGATGGCGCTGCCTCCAGAAAGCTGTGGCGGAGTATGCGTTAATCGTATTTAATGCGCTCTTTAATATGGTATCAAAAAATGTCGGTAAAAATTTGATATAAGTGTAACTTATAGGCTGATAAGTCTGTAAGGCAAAATGATTTTTTTTTGGCCCCACATCTATATAACCCCATTCGCCCCATGGCAAGGAGGAGTTTATGAACGCCTAATAAGATCCGTAAAACTAGCCCTATTCAAGTCTCAAGGAAAGAAAATTCTCTCAGCAGAAGAGCTTCTTACGGTTCTAACAGAAATAGAAGCAATGTTAAATACAAGGCCACTTCTCTACGCCGAGTCCGGACCAAGGGAAAATCAAACCTTACGGCCAATTGACTTCTTACAAAACAATTTCGAGATCCCACTTTCCCTCGAGTACAATGAACAAACTGATGACGACGCCGCATATACTTCCCCCGAAGAACGCGTGGCGCTGCAGTCAAAATCACAAGTCATGGAAGCGCTGAAAAGCTCGTGTGAGCAGCCGGAAAGATTTTGGCGCGTATGGCAAATCGAGTACCTCACGTCCTTGAGGGAGAAGCATCAGCGCGAAGTTGGGAAGCAGCGAGGAAGTAGCTATACGCCCGAAGTAGGAAAAATAGTACTGATTTGTGACGCTCTTCAACCTAGACATTCCTGGAAAATGGGTCGCATCGAAGCCCTCATTTCTAACTCCAAGGGTATTGTGAGAGAAGCAGTAATTCTACTCCCTTCTCATCGCAAGATTCGGAGGCCTCTGAATTTGTTGGTTCCCTCAGAAATTCAAGTTGAAGCGAGACTAATGTAGAGGAGTCATCAGAGGAGCAACCACCCTGCACAAACCCTCATACCAAGAAACCAGGCTCCCATTACAACCTTCGCCCAAGGGAACGCGTAGATTACTCCGATAACTTTGTCAGTGCAGTGAGGTCGAGCTTTGAAATCGAGTAAAACGCTAAATCTGTTAACGATTATCTTGGCTTCATCGTTTCTCATGGTACAATCTGTTCCCAATGAGAAGGGCACTATAAAACCCATGCGAAGCGTTCCCCATGAAGTCTGTTTGGCACTCTCTGAGTCACAAACACCGAGAACTATGCGACGAAACTGTTTACTCATCATTCTTAACAGCGATATCCTCAAATCGGAGTTTCCAGGGAGTAGACGCGTTTTCCCACTTTGTAACAGAGCCTCCCATGAGAAAAGGTTTTTGCAAAAATCGCGTTTCTGAGAAAGTAGAAATTCGTCACATCCACAGAGAATCGCGTTTCAAGTGCCGAGACAATTTATTCGTAGTGCATGAAATCCGCACCACATACCAATCACGTCTGATACCCTCCATATGGGAATATACTGATTCTAGATATCACGCTCATGCAATGATGACACAAATATTTCGAAAGTTCAAAAATTTGAGTTACAAAATTATGATTATGGGTCTCAGCAAAAAGCTCATAACACGCGTTTCCCCTATTTTCAGGATGGCGAATAAACAAGACGAAGGAGATTGCGAGTTTTTGGAGGAGCTGACCACGACACGAATGTTGGATCACCACAAGATAGAAATGGAAATGGAATCAGCAGCCATTTCTCTAAGCCGGCAGAAGAAAATAGCAACAGTCCTCCTCAATAAATGGAATCACCACAAAACAGAGGACGCCTTCATGCTCGCTTCCGCCGCAGAGCAGATGCAGCTGACCGCACAATGCCTACGCGAGGCCGAGGTGACGAAGGAAAGGATCCTTCGCATCGGAACACACTATCTGCTATTGGACTTCCTGCACGAGTACATGACGAAAAGTGGTCACGCCTCAGCTTCAGGACGTCAGAGCTTTCTCGAGCGCAGTCGCGACTACTCCTTCGGATCGGAAGCAATTTCAGAATTAGTCGCCAGTCACAGGACTGTGCTGGATTTCGCGGTAACGGAGATGTCAGCTATGCTACACAAGCAAGAAAACGAACTGAAGGAGAAAGACCGCCTTACGAGTTCTCAAGTCCAGAGAATTGTGAGAAAGGAGCTCGAGTTACTTCAAACGCAGCTCAGTTCCAGACCACAAATCGAGAACACTGTGGACGCTCAAAGTCCTAACAAGATACCACACAGCTCTCCTCAGAAGAACGTGGAACAGACACCCTCAGTAGAGCCGTTGGAAGACAGCGATCCTGAAGAGACACCCGGCCTGCCCGAAAGTCAAGAAGAAGAAGATCGACACCAAGAGGATGACGACAGCTATTTCAACAGAATGGTGAGCGAGGTCGCAGATGCAAATGGAGCGAGTGAATCACCAAATCCGACGTCCGATGGAGATGAACCGTCGCCAAAGCTTCGAGTTGTCGATTCAGACACGATTCTCAGCAGCCGTATAAGAAGAATCGAAGAAAAGGTGGAAAGAATGAAAGAAGACCTCAAGCACTTCCCGTTCCGAGATCGAAGAGACCGTTCGGAGGGAGTACACCCATGGAGGACTTGCGCATTCTGCGACGAACAAGGGAACCCACTTCTCAGATGCCTGCAGCCGTGTCCGAGATGGAGATGCACGGTATAACATTGTTGTCGGGAAAAGGAGGTGCACACACTGCCTCGAAGGAGCGGAAGGCCATTCATGCCGATATCGCACAAGAGAATGCTGGTATTGCTACAGATTGATCGGCACTTCTTTCGAGGATTGCGTCTGGAAGATGGAGGACTCCACCATAGAGCTCTATGCAATGTTCCCAATAAGAAGGCTATTGCTGCAGCGCGTGTGGAAGAGTTAGAAAGCGAGTTGTGGACCCTGAGAACGGCGAAATAAGAACGCGTTTCTGAGTGGCGGCCGGAGTGTCGACGAACGTCGACAAGACCAAATGTAATATTTAAACTTATATTTTTGGTTAATGTCAAAGAACATTGTGGAAAAGGTTACACAAAACTTCTATTGCAGATTAGCATCGTGGTGGCACGAGGTCGGTGTGACCTACCGGTTCGACCCACCAATCGAATTCGATTGGACCCGACGCGCACTATATAAGGGGGCCGCCAACACACCACCGCATTTCTAACATTTCGGGTTTTTTGTTTCTAATCCTCTAGTATTTCTTTTCCTTGAACTTTCTGTTGCTAACATGATTTCCCTTTTTTAAAATACGTTCAATTACTCCAAGTTTGAGGTATTGTGTTCGCGTGGCTATATAAACGTTATTGTCTTATTTGTTGCGAGTATCTATCATTGAACTACACGTCAGATGTGGTGTAAGAGGATTATACCAGCAGAGAAACCTTGAAGAGAGGGATTGCATCCCAGTTAATTTCTCCCGAAGGCGGTACGCACCCTGACGTAGTACTCGTCTGTCTTCTTTCCTTTTGCGCCAATACCATGACAGAAGGTCCAAGAGTCATTGAGCCACCCCAATACTTTTCCCTAAGATTTATACCCCAATTACAGAGTGTGACCAGTGCAGCCCCTTGACTGACACAGGGATGACATGCCCGATGCAACGAGTTTGTAGACCAGTAACCGTGCAAGGAGGTGAGTTCAGCAACCTCATAAAGAAGAAAATAATCCAGTCTTCCATTGCAAAATGACCTATGTCTGGCTTCAGGGTCATGTCCAGGCTCAGTCGCAGTGTGCACTGATGGAACGATGAGAGCGAATCCAGGAAATGTAGCGGTGCCATCACTGAACATGCAATGAAGCAGGACAATGGACTGATGCACTTGGAACAGCCTATATAGCAGCGCAATGTGAAGCAGGTGGGTGGTCAGCGGTATGTGACAATAGGTCCATAAGATGTCTGACAGCACAAAAGTTCCAATGGAAGTGTGTAGAATTTCGTTGAAGAAGGCATTCATGTATAAAACAGAGATGACCACCTCACAAAGGGGGGGGGGAAGTACAGTGGAAAGGTCACTAAGGGCTCGCAAGCGGTACGTATCAAGCAAGCGCGGTAGCGGTGCGGTTGAGGGAATTCTAGAATTCTACGGGCATATTGACCTATGTAGTAGTCTACGACCTGAGCAGGGGAGAGGAGAAAAAGGGAGCTTTATGGGGAGCTGTTCGGCGACGAGGGGGGCGGGCATTTGCACTTCTGCTGCTTCACTACTTCTTTACAAGTCTCACTCTGGTGAAACCTGTGAACTCTTGTGACGCTGGAGCAAGCTCGTCGAGTCACTTTAGTGAAACCTGTCAACTCTCGTAGATCAGGAAATAGCTCTCTAGATGGCTCGTTGAGCAAGAGCAAAAATGCAAGATGTCCCCCCCCCATCGCCGAACTACGCTCTTAATGGTGGGTGAATCACTTTGAACATTCCAGTTTCTCCCAAATGGTAAGTGGTTCATCCAGTGGATCCCTCTCGTCTCAAAGCTGAGGCCACCGTAGCGCTAGCAAAAATTGCAGACTGGTCCCTCCCGAGCCACACATTACCGTCTGTCCTTTATGTCCTCTTATCTACCATGATGTAGCCAATAATTCCAGCTTGCTCCTGTGGCGCTCTACCGATTTCTCCTGCACCGTTTCCACCGGCTAACGGCAACTCGCTTGGAACGGACGCAAACGGCTGCTCCATATTGGTAACCCAATGCCGTCCAAACGAGCGGTACAGGTATGGAGGCAAAACATGCACGAGTGGGGCAAGGGTAGCTGAGGTGGGTGGTGCCCTATTTTTTTCTCGCCCGGGCCCTCACCGGTATCAGCTCTTAAAATCTGTTTCGTTGAGACGCCTCCTCTAAGCAGGAATGGGGCTTGGCCCAGTCTCGCAGTCAGCTGCCCCCTCCTCTACTACCTTTGCATCACATACATGATTTCTTGGATAATTT